CGTTTTGAAAAATAACTTTTAGTTTTTGAGAAAACAATATTTGAAGTTTTGATAAAATTTTCGATGTTGCAATTTTCATCGATAACTTTCAAAATTCGCTGTAAAATTAATTTCTTGAAGGATCCTTGTGGAAATATCACCAATTATTAATTAAAGTATCCTCTTTTTAATGCAAAAAGCCGTCTTGAAAAATCGTTTTAAGTTTTTGAGATATAATTTTTTGAAATTATCAACAATTTTTTCGAATTTTACAATCATTCATTGCAATAGCACTTCTAAATGTTAACTGATCCATTACTGGAGCCTTTTCGTAGTTAATTTCTAACATATTTGAGAGTCTAGGTATTTGTGAAAAGCGGCCACCACCACTTCTTACCACGAATGCGAATCCGATAATTCCCCAATGTGTTGTCATGAAGATCTACACCGCCCATATACGTGTTATACTCTTTGATCATGTCTTCATCACGTCTATCATAACTTCTGGCAGTTCTAAGTGGTAAAAAAGAAGAAAAATTAGATAATACAGTAATATTGGCATTATCTTTCCATCGAATTATTAAAGGCAAGAAATTTTATCTATTTTTGACATAAAGATGGGTTAATAAAATAATCTTGCAACAATTTTTAAATTCCGATAAAACTTGATTACTGTTTAAATGTGCCTCATAGAAATTCTTTGATAATTCTAGCTCAATAACAAAACAATTATAAATAAATAAAGCTATAACAGTACTCCCCATATCGTAATCTTAACATACTTATTAATTCACTTTTGCTTTTTCGTAATCAACACAAGTAGGAGTAACAAGACAGGTTATAAATATTTTTTCGGAAAAAATTAAAAATGCATACTTCTAGCTCGGCGGATTATTAACAATCTAATTAAACCAAATAAAAGTTGTGCAGTTATCTTTTACTCAACATACAGAGTAATAAACACGTTCAGGGTCCCACGCCGACTTTAACACCTTGGCAGGGGGCTGATATAAAACGGGACAACAAACACTTTTCACTTTCATTTCGATTTTTGTTAGAGCCTATAAAAGAATTGCACAAAAACATAATGAAAAATTACATTATCTTATTAATAACGCTTCAAAGTGTATTTTCAGCTCGAATTTTAAAAGAACAATTCGCATGGAATCAACTGGATTATGCTTATCCTTCATTCGATGAACGACAAGAAGCTTTACGAACGGGACGATTCGTTCCAGAAAATAATCTTCCCGTTGGAATTGAAATTTGGGGCGATAAATTATTTGTTTCTGTGCCCAGATGGAGAGTTGGTAAGCCGTCTCTTAATAATTATGAAATAAAATTTACAAATGCATTTATTTCCAGGAATTCCTTCAACTTTAAATTACATCCCTTTATCAAAAAACGTAGGAAAATCACCAGCATTAATACCTTACCCAAATTGGAAATCAAACGAAGCTGGAAATTGTGAATCTGGGTTAACAACCGTTTACCGAATAAAAGCTGATGAATGTCACCGTTTGTGGGTGTTAGACACTGGAACTTTTGGAATTGACGATACAACAACAAATCCTTGTCCTTACGCAATAAACGTGTTTGATTTATTTACAAATCAACGTTTAAGACGTTATGAGTTAAGAAAGGAGGATATAAATGCGAATACTTTTATAGCAAATATAGCGATTGATATTGGAAAGGATTGTAACGATGTTTTTGCTTATATGAGTGATGAATTAGGGTATGGATTAATTGTTTATTCCTGGGAACAAAACGAATCTTGGCGTTTTGAACACGGATTTTTCCGCCCTGATCCGTTAAAAGGCGAATTCAACATTGGAGGATTAGAATTTCAATGGGACGCGGAAGGAATTTTCGGAATGTCTTTAACTCCGCTTCAACCCGACGGTTATCGATTAATGCACTTTTCTCCTTTAGCAAGTGAAAGAGAATTTGTTGTATCAACTGGTACTTTAAGAAATAGTTCCAAAGTTGGGGATAGCTACAAAGAATTTTATTCTTTAAACGAACGTGGCCCATTATCGCACACAACTTCGAGAGTTATGGATGATTATGGGATACAATTTTTTAATTTAATCGATAGAAACGCAGTGGGTTGCTGGAATGGTCGATATGATTATAGACCAGAAAATTTTGGAGTTGTCGATAAAGATGACGTAGGTTTGAGCTTCCCCGCTGATGTTAAAGTCGACGCCCAAAGAAATTTGTGGGTTATATCCGATAAGATGCCCAATTTTTTGCTTTCAAGTTTAAATTATAGTGAAATCAATTTTAGAATATATTTTGCCCCAATTCAGGTTTTAATCCAAAACACCGTTTGCGAAATACAAGTAGCCGAACATAATTATTATTATTTATAATAAAATTATTAGGTGGTTTTTTTCTTTTTGGAAAGGGTCGTAAATTATCTATAATAATAAATAAGTAAAGAATGAGTACTTTTTTTTTTGAGGCTGGTCATATTGCTTTTTGGTTCGATTGAGTCCTCTTTATTTATCAAATTTTTATGAATTCTAATTTAAATATTTATGAAAATTGCATTTAAATTAATAAAAAATTAATCAATAAAAACTAATTAAGCGAAAATAAAATTACATTAATTATTTTTTATGAAATTAATCGTTTAATAAATTTTCAAAAATCGAAACAACGCTTGAAGTGTCAAATGTCAAATTGATAACCATTTTTTTTTAGGTTATGTTGCTTTTTGGTTCGATTGAGTACTCTTTATTTATCCAATGTTTATGAATTCTAATTTAAAGATTTACGAAAATTGCATTTAAATTAATAAAAAATTAATCAATAAAATTAATTTATTAAATTAATTAGTTTTTACGAAATAAATCGTTTAATAAATCGAAACAACGCGTCAAGTGGCAAACTTCAAATTGGTAACCATAAAAAGTGGTAAATTTATTTATTTAATCATTAAAAATGCCTCCAACTATCCAAAACGGGATTGCAACAATGTATGGAGCACTTTTAAAAATAAATTAAAGAAATTAATAATAATACGAAGTGATTTTAATTTTTTTTTTAGGTTATGTTGCTTTTTGTTTCTATTGAGTCCTCTTTATTTATCCAATTTTTATGAATTCTAATTGAAATATTTATGAAAATTGCATTTAAATTAATAAAAAATTAATTAAGCTAAAATTAAATTAATTAGTTTTTACGAAATAAATCGTTTAATAAATTTTAATAAATCGAAACAACGCCGGAAGTGTCAAACAAGTGTCAAACGTCAAATTGATAACCATAAAAAGTGTAGAAGTTATTTATTTAAAGTGCTTCCAACTATCCAAAAAAGGGGAATAACACCCAAACGGATAAAATTCCCGTGAAACCTGCCTAAGGAGAACGATAGTAAAAGTAGTTCTATTTAAAACGAAATTATAACCTCAAAACTTTTTTTTTTTTTAGATCCCAATTGATTTTAAAGTTAAATATTGCAACACCGTTCCAGACATTCCGTTTGTGTTGTATATGTAAATTTCTTTAATTATAACGCATTAAATACATCATATTAATAAATTAACTTAATGTATATGTAAAGTTGCAAATTATTAACTGTCGAAAAACATATTCCCTCCTATTACCAACCCCGAATATGAAAAACTCCCCAGATATATAACAGTTTGATCTAAAGTTTATTGCTTAGGGTGATAAATTATCTACAATAATAAATAAATAATGAGTACTTAGATTTTATTCCTCAAATCACTAAATTAATATTTTTAATGTTTAAGGATAATTAAAACATTCCATTCAACTTATTACAACAAATGCTCTGTATTTTGTCTAGCTTCTTCTTTGCTCTTCTCAGCTCTTCTTTAACACCTTTATTGTCTCCTTTATTGTCAATTGGATCAAAAGAAAATGAAATTGAAAAGTGTTAAAGAAGAAACTAGACACTGGACAAAGTATTAAAAGAATGAAATGAAGCGCTAGATCAAATAATTTGCACTTTTAATTGGCGATGCAATAATTTTTAATGATTAAATAAATAAATTTAGCACTTTTTGTGGTTATCAATTTGATGTTTGACAGTTTTCGACGCGTTGTTTCGATTCACTAAAAATTATTAAACGATTAATTTCGTAAAAACTAATCAATTTAATTTTATTTTCGCTTAATTATTTTTAATTCATTAATTTTTTATTAATTTAAATGCAATTTTAAAAAATATTTAAATTAGAATTTATAAAAGTTTGATAAATGAAGAAGGCTCAATCGAACCAAAAAGCAACATAACCTCAAAAAAAATGAAATAATTTTGTATTTATTATTAATTTCTTTAATTTCCTTTTAAAAATGCTCGATGCATTATCCGACGAGGAATACGTGATTCAAAGAGCTAAAACCGCTTTTAAAACTGATCCGATTACTGCGAAAGCATGGATGATTACAGCGAAAACATTGTATCCTAATAATTTTGGTGTTCAGGTGGGTTAATTTTAATAGATTTGGAGTTATCTAATTAATTTATTGTAGTTTGAAGCTTACCAAATTGAAAAAGGGGGTGGGAATGTTAAAGAGGCTGCCAGAAACTTCAGCGATTTGTATGTTATGGGTTTCAAGTTTTTATTTTTAATACAGTTGGTTTTAGAATAGGGAAATTTCACCAACAACCCGAATTTTGGAATGAAATCAACAAAGTAACAAGTTCTTTACGGAGTGAAAATGATGGTACTGATCATGAAAAACAATTTTATTGCGATATGTTTAAACATATCCATCCGGACGTTCAACATAAATTGTTATTAATCACAGCGGAACATTGCGAGGATACAATGGAACATTGCAAATTACTTTTGTTGTTGTTGCAAAAGTTTTCAATGGCAATTCCAACACATGGGGTGAGAAGTTTAGTTTTAATTTAAATCATATTAATTAATTCTGTTTTAGTTGGGGTTGATTGAAACGTTATTAAGTGCCGAAAAACATAGCCACTCAAGTAATCAACCTATAAATCCATTTAGAAAAATGTTAGTCCACGATTTAATTCCTTTATTAAACACCGAAAGTGTTTCTGTTGACATTTCACAAAAATTAATTTTTAAACTCCTTCATAAAGCGATCGAATATTACTTATATTGTTTAAACACGCCAAATAAATGCCAAAATTTAGATGAGGCGTGGGATAAATTATGCATAACGTTAGAATTTAGCGGTAAAAAGTTGTGTTGGGAACCATACTTGGCGAGTTTTGGTGAAAATTGGAGTAAAGAGCATTATTGGCAAAAGCTTTTAACGTTTTGTCAATCGCAAAATTTAAATTTAGACGACCAAAATATGTTGAAACAATTACTTTATTGTGTTACAATTTTTTTTTTGAATTGTTTGAATGAGTACAAAATGAGTTTGGCTCATTCGGGACAAACGCAACCTTGTTTTTTATTAATTGAAGCCTTCGTTGATAAAAATTTACCGAATCCAATGATAGCATTGTCAGAACCAAAAGCAAAAAGGCGAAAAAGTAGTGATCCAGAGATTCAACCTCATCTTTCCGTCGAAAAATCCGAATATAAAAATATCGTTAATAATTTTATTTTAACAAAAAAATGTTGGGAATTATTAAATTCAACCGATTCGTTACAAAGAGAATATAACAAATTAAATTCACATTTAAAATTAAATAATTATTTACATCAATTTATGATTGATTACTATATTTATAAAGGACAAATTGATGACGCTTTTAATTATACCCAATCTTCACCACAAGAATCACATTTGAATTTAAAATTAACCGACAGTTTACGACTGGCGAATATAATGTACTTAAAAAAGAATTATCTCGCTTGTTATAATCATATTTTAACAGTTTTAGAATTATTACCAACAACAACAAACGCAGGTTCTTTAACTTCGAAATTAACGCAAGGTGGAACAAGACATTTACATTTTTTACCGTTAACTCGCCTCAATGTACTTCAATATTGCGCAAAACTTTTAATTCGCGCAATTTCAGAGAAATCCGATAATAACTTTAATGATTTATCAATCGGAAACATTTTTGTGCTAACACAATTAGATTGGCCAAATGAAGAGGATCGAATCCCACCTTTATTGGATGTAATCCGCCAAAGGGGATCTTTTCATTATTATTTATTTCAAACTTACATTATTAACGTTGATCTTTTGGAGGAATTAACGTTTTTATTTACACGACAAGTGTCATTACATATTTTGCCACATTTGGAACAACGGCGCATTGGAACTAGAGGCGCTGATAAAGGTGTTAAAGAAGAGGTTAGACAAAGTATTAAAAGACAAGTTGGGCGATGTAATGAAGCGTTAGATCAATTAATTTGTACTTTTATTTGTAATGAAAGAGAACATTTGTTGCAATCGTTGCAATAAGTTTAATGGAATGTTTTAATTATTGAGTTAAACATCAAAATTATTAATTTAGTAATTTGACGAATAAAATCTAAGCACTCATTAGTTATTTGTTTATTATTATAGATAATTTGCGACTCTAAGACATAAACTTTAGTCAATTTTAATCAATTTGAATCTAAAAAAAGTTTTATAATTTGACACTTGACATTTCATACGTTTCGATTTATTAAAATTTATTAAACGATTTATTTCGTAAGAACGAATTAATTTAATTTTAGCTTAATTAATTTTATTGGTTAATTTTTTATTAATTTAAATGCAATTTTCAATAATAGTTAAATTAGAATTCATAAAAATTGGATAAATAAAGAGGACTCAATCGAACCAAAAAACAACATAACCTCAAACGAAAAATTAAAATCATTTTATTATTAATTTGTTTAATTTACTTTTAAAAGTGCTGGATACGTTGTTGCAATCCCGTTTTGGATAGTTGGAGGCATTTTTAATGATTAAATAAATAAATTTACCACTTTTTATGGTTATCAATTTGACTGAATGCGTTGTTTCGATTTATTAAAAATTATTAAACGATTAATTTCGTAAAAACTAATTCAAATATTTATGAAAATTGCATTTAAATTAATAAAAAATTAATGAATTAAAAATAATTAAGCGAAAATAAAATTAAATGAATTACTTTTTACGAAATTAATCGTTTAATAATTTTTAGTAAATCGAAACAACGCTTGTTGAAGTGTCAAACGTCAAATTGATAACCACAAAAAGTGCTACATTTATTTATTTAATCATTAAAAATGCCTCCAACTATCCAAAACGGGAATAACCCCCAAACGGATAAACGCCCCGTGAAACCCGGCCAAGGAGAACGACGGTAAAAATAATTTAATTTAAAATGAAATTATAACCTAAAAATTTTTATTTTTTAGATCCGAATTGATTTGTAAAGTTAAATATTGCAACACCCTCCCAGACATTCCGTTTGATTTAAAGTTTATTGCTTACCCTTTTGAATCAACAAGGTTTATTCAATACAACCCAACATCGTTAGAGCGAAATTATCGCTATGAAGTTTTAACAGAGCATGATTTAGGAGTTGCGATCGATTTAATCAACAAAGACGTTTACGCAGTTGAGCCCGGTTCTTTACTCGACCCCGCCGATGAAAAACTGCTTGAAGAAGACATTTTAACACCGCAAGATTCGAAAAGATCTCGCCATCATGCTCGTTCTGTGTCATGGTTACGCCGAACGGAATATATTTCCACAGAACAAACTCGCTTTCAACCCCAAACGATGGATAAAGTTGAAGCGAAAGTCGGTTATAGCATCAAAAAGAATTTAAAGAATGAGACTTTGTATATGGATCGCGATTCGCAAATTAAGGCGATTGAAAAGACGTTTGAAGATTCGAAGGTGGTTATAGAGAAGCATTATAGTAAGCCGAATGTTGTTCCAGTTGAAACACTTCCGGTTTATCCAGATTTTAAATTGTGGAAGTATCCTTGTGCTCAAGTCATTTTTGATAGCGATCCAGCCCCGGTTGGAAAACAAATGCCCGCTCAATTAGAAGAAATGTCTCAGGCGATGATTCGAGGTGTTATGGATGAAAGTGGCGAGCAATTCGTTGCCTACTTTCTCCCAGTTGAAGAAACCTTACAAAAACGTCGCGAAGATTTTGCTAATTTCATTCCATACCAAGATGACGAAGAATACGAATACAAAATGGCTCGTGAATACAATTGGAATGTTAAAAGTAAAGCAAGTAAAGGTTACGAAGAAAACTATTTCTTAGTTATGAGACAAGATGGGATTTATTACAACGAACTCGAAACTCGCGTCCGTTTAAGTAAACGCCGTCAAAAAATAGGCCAAGCCCCCAGCAACACTCGTTTGGTCGTTAAGCATCGCCCCATGGACGAACAAGAATTCCGAATGCAACGTTATCGCGAAAAACAACTCGAACCGCCCGGCGAAGAAGAAGATGAACCAGAAATGGAACCCCAAGTTGAAGATACACAAAATCAAGACGATTCGGAAAAATCAGATGCATCCCGAGCATCGTCTCCGTCATCTGAACGATCTAAATCAAGGTCGAAATCTAAATCGAGATCGCGTTCGGTTTCTCCCGCAAAATCTAAATCGAAAAGCCGTTCAAGGTCGCGATCTAAATCACCTTCTAGGTCAAAATCTCGATCAAGATCTTCTTCGAGGTCGAAATCTAGATCGAGATCGGCGTCGAAATCGCCGTCAAGGTCTAGATCAAGATCAAAATCGGCTTCGAAATCACCATCAAGGTCTAGGTCGGGATCTGAGTCAAGATCTGGGTCAGGGTCGGAATCAGGGGATAAATCTGACAGTGAATAAATAATTCATTAAAATGTTATCTAACAATTAATTAATTAATAAAAATTAATGATAAATACAAAATGATTTTAATTTTTTTCTTTGAGGTTATGTTGCTTTTTGGTTCGATTGACTCATCTTTATTTATACAATTTTGATGAAATTTCATTTAAAATTTATGAAAATTGAATTTAAATTAATAAAAAAATAATTAAGCTAAAATAAAATTAAATTAACTCGTTTTTACGAAATAAATCGTTTAATAAATTTTAATAAATCGAAATAACGTGTGAAATGTCAAACAAGTGTCAAATGTCAAATTGATAACCATAAAAAGTGTTTAATTTATTTATTTAATCATCATTTAATCATTAAAATGCTTCCAACTATCCAAAACGGAAATTACTCCCAAACGGATAAAGTCCCGTGAAACCCGGTTAAGGAGAACGACGCTAAAAGTAGTTCCATTTAAAACGAAATTATAACCCCAAAAAAATTTTTTTTAGATTCGAGTTGATTACAAATCAATTATTAATCAAATTCCATTAAACTTATTGCAACAATGTATCGAGCACTTTTAAAAATAAATTAAACAAATTAATACAAAATGATTTTAATTTTTTTTGAGGTTATGTTGCTTTTTGTTTCGATTGACTCCTGTTTATTTATCCAATTTTTATGAATTCTAATTTAAATATTTATGAAAATTGCATTTAAATTAATAAAAAATTAATGAATAAAAATTAATTTAGCGAAAATAAAAATAAATTAATTAGTTTTTATGAAATTAATCGTTTAATAAATTTTAATAAATCGAAACAACGCTTAAAGTGTCAAACGTCAAATTGATAACCACAAAAAGTGCTAAATTTATTTATTTAATCATTAATTAAGTAAAGTATTTGATTTAATTAATTAATAAAAATTAATGATTTAATTTGAGTTTTTATTAATTCATTTTGATAACAATACTCTATTTTTAATTCGGAGGAGTCAAGGTCAAAAGGTATTACCCGTTGCGAGGACATTCTTTTTTGCTTTATGAGAGAGATTTTGGAGTGATTAAGAGAAGCTTACGGAAAGTTGACCCAGTTCATGATGTCCATACATTCATTGAACTTATCATAACTTCTAGTACCAAAAACGCTTTTATTGTAAAAAAAAGTTGCAACAGAAGATATCATAGTTTATAAAAACTGGTGTGCAAAACACTACAAGTCTGCATGTGCTTTTGATGAAACTGAAAAACATTCTAGAAATGAAAAAATTCGATTTTCAATGTCAAAAGTTCACCATTTTGTTCATGAAGCAACAAATTCTGGTGTAATGGATTCATTTCGAACACCTTTAAGCTAATATTGGTAAACCCGATATTTTTTAGTTCTAGCGTTAGTTCTAGTTTTACACTTAGACCAATTCCATTCTACAACACCAAAATTCCATTCCATTTTTGAATAATGACAATTTTTCCATATTTATTTCGTTGCCTAGCAACCAAAAATAACATCAAATTTATTAAAATTTCGATTTACTTAAAAAAAAATAATAGATATAAAAAATACTCACTCTTTTTTTCTTAATTTCTTTGATTTTAGACAAAATTGTTTATTTTATAATTATTAATAAAATTTAAATCCAATTTGGTTTAAATTTACTTCGACATTTTCGTTGTCATTAAACACCCATGAAATTAGTTAACAATATTCCAAGATACCAACCGATTTAAAATTTAAATCTCATTTTAAAACTATATAGTTCAAGGGTTCTAGGTCTAGTGTTAGTTCTAGTTTTAGTTTAATATAAATATGCAACATACTGATAATGATATATAGTGATATAACTACCAATAGCTACCAACCCGAATGTTTCTAGTTCTTGGTCTACTTTTACACTATAGAATTAACACAAGACCTAGAACTAGGCGAAACACCACAACATAATTTTAATTATATAATTAAAAAGAAAAGATATAAAATAAATAATGCGTAATAAATATTACTAATGATAAATAAAGTTTATCTTTTTAATTAATTTTAAACAAAGAATTTATTTTTTAAGGTTGGTAGTACACATAACCTCATTAACTAACCTAAATAATCGCAGATAAAAATTTCACCTATTTTCTATTTTTAAAGACATTACGTTAAGATAAATTGATTAAAACGACAAATATAATATAATTTTACTCAAAATAACCGGTAATTATAACCTATAAATAATTTTTGTGTTATAATTTTAGTTATTTTATAAATTAGTTTATCAAAAGAATTTTTAGCTTATCCTGAATGAAAATATCCCCAAAATCATGGAAAATTGGCAGGCTTTATTAATTTTCATCACAATTCGACTCCTATCAGTATTTTTAGTACAAACTTGGTATGTACCGGATGAATATTGGCAATCATTGGAAGTGGCACATAAATTAGTTTTCGGTTATGGAGAATTAACATGGGAATGGAAAAATGGTTTAAGAAGTTATATTTATCCTTTAATAATCAGTTTTATATATAAAATTTTACAGTTTTTACATTTAGATACAGTATTCACTTTGGTATGATTACTTTAATAATTTCAGATTTGAATTAGAATGTTTTTGGTTGTTTTAGACAATAATTCCTAGAATTTTACAAGGATTATTAAGCGCATACGCCGATTATAGGTTCTATCATTGGTCGGGAACAAAAAAATGGGCTGTTTTTATAATGGGTTCAACGTATTTTTGGTTCTATACTAGCTCACGAACGTTAATTAATTCATTCGAAACAGCTCTTACAACGATTGCACTTTCATATTTTCCTTGGCCAAATAAAACTCCACAAAAAAAACGAACTAAAGCATCTATTACAAGACTAGAAAGTGATGTATTTATTTATGTTGTTGCATTTTTATGCGCTGTGAGACCAACAGCTGCTATTCAATGGCTCCCTTTATGTTTATTTCATTTAAAAACATCAACAGAAACTTATTTTCAATTGGTTTTTAAAAAATATTTACCCATTGGGTAATTTATTTTTTGTTTTAATTTAAATGAATTAAAATCATTTTTTTTAGGTTAATAACATTATTTTTATCTTGTTTAATTGATTCTTGGGCTCATGGTTCGTTCGTAATAACCCATTACGAATTTTTAAAAGCAAACGTTCTAAATAATATCTCAGAATTTTATGGATCACACTCATGGCATTGGTATTTATCGAATGGATTACCCGTTTTATTAGGAATCAATTTTTTCCCATTCATTTGGGCCGCTTTTTCTATTGTGAAGCACCGTGAAACCGCCCCAAACGAATTGGTTTTATTGGGGACCATGGTTTTTACAATTTCCGTTTATAGTTGGTTGCCCCATAAAGAATATCGGTTTATTTTACCGTTATTACCGATGGCTTTACATATTTTAGCGGATTACTTATCAAAATGGAGTCGAAAAGCAAATTTGTAGGTTAAAAATTTTTTTTTGAGGTTATGAAATTATTTTTGCCTTTTAGATCGTTCGTGTGGATTATTTCAATTATAATCTTGTTGGGAAATGTAATTCCGGGTCTTTATTTAAGTTTAATTCATCAAAGAGGTACATTGGATGTGATGCAACCTCTACAAGAAATTGCAGAAAAACAACCAGATAAAGCTAACTTTTTATTTTTAACTCCGTGCCATTCGACACCTTTATACAGCCATCTCCACGTAAACGTAACGACTCGTTACTTAAAATGCGTCCCGAATCTAAATGACATCAAAAATTATAAAGATGAGGCCGATGTTTTTTATTCTGGACAAAATATATGGATTCGACAACATTATCCAGCTCATAAACCACTTCCGTCTCATATTATAGCCTTTGATGTACTCATTGATTCAATTTCGGATATTTTAAGCATGTACAAACCTGTTAATTATATTTTTCACACCGATCGAGTCTCTGATGGAAGAATTGGGAAGAATATTGTTGTTTTCGAGCGAATCGATACGGTTAATACACCGATTAATACTGCGACGTCGTAAAAATGATTTAATAATAAATAAAAACGTTTGTTTAAATTTTGTTATAAAAAGATTGAGGTTATAAAATTAATTAAAATGAAAGTTCAAATTTTTTGAAAAAGTGTTCGATTTAAAGTACAAAATGTAAATTTTATTGTTGGATTGTTATTTAAAAGAAATAAATTAAAAGTTTTTGAAATTTAACTGTTTAGTAGTAAAAAAAGTAGTTTAGACAACCAAACATACAACAACACATAACCTAAAAAAGAACGTTTTGTGACATATTTTGTTATAAAATTAATTAAAATGAAGTTAAAAGCTTTTTGAAAAATGTGTTTGATTTAAAGTACAAAATGTAAATTTTATTGTTGGATTGTTATTTAAAAGAAATGAATTAAAAGTTTTTGAAATTTAATTGTTTAGTACTAAAAAAAAGTAGTTTAGACAACCAAACATACAAACAACACATAACCTAAAAAAGAACGTTTTGTGACATATTTTGTTATAAAATTAATTAAAATGAAGTTAAAAGCTTTTTGAAAAATGTGTTTGATTTAAAGTACAAAATGTAAATTTTATTGTTGGATTGTTATTTAAAAGAAATGAATTAAAAGTTTTTGAAATTTAATTGTTTAGTACTAAAAAAAAGTAGTTTAGACAACCAAACATACAAACAACACATAACCTAAAAAAGAACGTTTTGTGACATATTTTGTTATAAAATTAATTAAAATGAAGTTAAAAGCTTTTTGAAAAATGTGTTTGATTTAAAGTACAAAATGTAAATTTTATTGTTGGATTGTTATTTAAAAGAAATGAATTAAAAGTTTTTGAAATTTAATTGTTTAGTACTAAAAAAAAGTAGTTTAGACAACCAAACATACAAACAACACATAACCTAAAAAAGAACGTTTTGTGACATATTTTGTTATAAAATTAATTAAAATGAAGTTAAAAGCTTTTTGACAAATGTGTTTGATTTAAAGTACAAAATGTAAATTTTATTATTGGATTGTTATTTAAAAAAAATGAATTAAAAGTTTTTGAAATTTTACTGTTTAATATTGAAAAATGTAGTTTAGACAACCAAACATACAACAACACAACCTAAAAAAGAACGTTATGTGACATATTTTGTTATAAAAAGATTTAGGTTATGAAACGAAGTTCAAAGCTTTTTGAAAAATGTGTTCGATTTAAAGTACAAAATGTAAATTTTATTGTTGGATTGTTATTTAAAAGAAATAAACTACAAGTTTTTGAAATTTAACTATTTAGTATTAAAAAAAAGTAGTTTAGACAACCAAATATACAACAACACATAACCTAAAAAAGAACGTAATGTCACAGCTAGATTTTATTGTAAAAAAAGTGATTAGTTCGATTAGTTTAAATATAATATTAACGACTATTAGTGTCATTTATTAACAAATCTCCACGATACAATACAATAACTTTAAATTCCTGTTGTTGTTGAAATCCAATTCCTTAAATTAGCGATGTTAGCATAAACTCCTGGTAAATTTGGCCGCGCACAACCAGTACCCCACGATACGATACCAAATAACACATTATCAAAAACTAAAGGACCACCACTATCTCCATTACAAGCGTCTCTTCCACCTTGGGGGAACCCAGCACATATCATCCTTTAAAACAATAAAGTATAACTTAAAAAGATACATCGAAAAATATTTTACCGATCAGTAAATAGATTTCCATAAATCTCTCTACAACGAATTTGACTCTTTATTGGAACCCCAACCGCTTGAAGTCGCTCCGAAAATGTACCATTTTCCTAACAAAAATATAAACATATATATTATTTTAAGTTATGTTATTTTGACAGCTTTAAACGTCAAAATTTTCATGAAATTTATTTACGGATGTTAATCCCCAACCGGAAACGACTGCCAAAGAACCTTCCGAAGGATGCAAATTTAACACAGGAAGTCTTATAATTTGAACTCCAAACGCCCCCAACGGGAAATGTTCAGCAATTTCAACGGCTGCTATATCAAAATCGTAGGTTATCGTATTATAACTTGTATGAATACTTATCCTAGAGATTTGATGAATCGAACCACCCGAATTAATACGAGAACTACCACTTCGAATTGTAAATCGTCCATCAAAACTAAAAATTAATTTTAAAAATTTAAACATAACCTATAATAATTATTTTGACAGCTTTAAACGTCAAAATTATGATTAATTTATACCCAACAATACAATGAGCGGCGGTTAAAGCCCATCGAATTCCTATTATAACAGCACCGCATTGATGACGGCCCTCAAGTCTTAATTGAAGCTGATATGGGAAATTTTCTATCGAAACTGTGTCTCCACCGACGATTCGTCCATTTAAAGTTGGTACGATTGGTTTTTCAATGAAAGAATTAACTAAAAAATTTAATTAAAGAAATTTTAAATCGATAAGAAGTTTAATAAATTAAATACTAACCAGGTAAGGAAATGGTAAAGAAAAGAAAAAGTAAATTAATGAATAATTTGGAGGTGAACATGTTGCGATAATGATTAATTTAAAATTGAAATCTATGCGTTTATATTTTTTTAGATAACGGGGTTTATCTTTATAATAAGTTATTCCAGGGGGATTTTTTTGTTTAAAAAAATAAGATAACTTATCTTAGAAAGAATGCAGAATGCCGAAAGACCTAAAATACTATTTGTTTTAAAGGTTTATGTCTTTTATTTTATATAGAATTTAAGTCTAACTAGTTTCGGCCCTTGGCCATCTTCAGAGACTCTACAAATAGATTAACATCTCACATCTTATCATATTTTTATTGCACTAAAACTAGAACTAACACAAGAGTTATAACTAGAAGTCTTCAGTGGTCAATGTCAACTTTAATTTTATTATTATATTCGTAATCTTCATAAAACAACCTTTAAAGTGAGTCCAAACATGACGCATTTCTCTCAAAAAACAAAAAATTTGAAATTCAAATATTAATTTTGACATATTTGTCAACTTCATAAAAAATCCTTTAAAATGAGTCCAAACTCGACATATTTAACTTTGATATTAATGGAGATACAATTACTTCCGGTTTGAAACGTCAACGTCAATTTTGACATATTTGTAATCTTTATTAAAAACCCTTTAAAATGAGTCCAAACAAGACGTACTTATCTCGAAAAACAAAAAAGTTAGAATAAAAAACATTAAACCCGAAGTTAGCAACAATGAAGATAGCAATTTAAGTTTTAAATATTAATACCAACCTTAATTTTTGATTTTTTTTTATTATATTTTTGTTTTTGTGACAAATATTAAGACATTTTATAAAAATTAAGAATATGTCAAAATGACATTGACATTTCAAACCGGAAGTTGCTTATATCTCGAGTAATATTGGAATTAAACGTATCATGTTTGGACTCATTTTAAAGGATTTTTCACGACGATTACAAATATGTCAAAATTGACGTTGACATTCTTAACCGGAAGTTGACCATAACTTCATTAATATTGAAGATAAATATGTCGTGTTTGTACTCATTTTAAAGGATTTTTAATGAAGATTACAAATATGTCAAAATTGAGGTTGACATTTTAAACCTGAAGTTAGTTATCATATAATAGACAAATGGACAACTTCATGGTGTTCTTTCATGATGTATTCTTTATTAAAAAAACCTTTAAAATGTGTCCAAACATGATGCATTTATCTCAAAAAACCAAAAAGTTCGAACTTTCAACTTTTAATTTTGACATATTTGTCAACTTCATAAAAAATCCTTTAAAATGAGTCCAAACTCGACATATTTAACTTTAATATTAATGGAAATACAATCACTTCCGGTTTGAAACGTCAACGTCAATTTTGACATATTTGTCATCTTCATTAAAAAACCTTTAAAATGAGTCCAAACATGACGCACTTATCTCAAAAAACAAAAAAGTTAGAATAAAAAACATTAAACCCGAAGTTAGCAACAATGAAGATAGCAATTTAATTTTTAAATATTAATACCAACCTTAATTTTTGACTTTTTTTTATTATGTTTTTGTTTTTGTGACAAATATTAAGACATTTTATAAAAATTAAGAATATGTCAAAATGACATTGACATTTCAAACCGGAAGTTGCTTATATCTCGAGTAATATTGGAATTAAACGTATCATGTTTGGACTCATTTTAAAGGATTTTTCACGACGATTACAAATATGTCAAAATTGAGGTTGACATTTCTAACCGGAAGTTGACCATAACTTCATTAATATTAGAGATAAATATGTCGTGTTTGTACTCATTTTAAAGGATTTTTAATGAAGATTACAAATATCATATAATAGAAGTTTTATAACTGAAGTTAATCTAGTGTTAGTCACTTTTCAGCACTTTCTTTTTATTTTTAACGTATTTTTTGGGTCCTCTTTTTCATTCTTAGGTACCCCACTGTATATGTGTAGGTATGTATTCTTCTAGATGTTTCCACCCCTGCCCTTTTCGTTTAAGGTTATGATTTAAACGTCGCTTTGATACTTAATATGTCAAAAATTAAAAACGATTTTGAAAATCTTAAGTTGAGAAAAATTAACAAATTAATTTTTAAGTCATTGTGCGTATGCGAAAACTTCAACACAATAGAGTGGATGTAAAAATCTTCTTACGCAATTTTGGTTCGTGTCGTGACTTTTACGACCTCATCTATAAAGCAAGCGATTATGGTACATACTAAAAAGCTACCGGTTTTGTATCGTTTCCGCGCGCTTTCCATCTACTGACACTGTACGAGTACAACCTCTTCCTGTTCTCAACATCAAAGAGAAGTTTCTTCCTCGACACATTAAAACCTTAAAGTGAAAGGTGACGTACTCGATTCCAATCGAAGAAATTTCGAGTTTGCTTTAAGAGAAATGACATAAATTTAGTTGTTTTTAATTTTTTTTAATCCCCACGCGTAAACGTGGAAAGTTTCAAGTTGAATTATAACTTTTCGGAGTTTACATCGACCGGTACAAGAAATTTACATCCGTGTCGAGAATGTTGAGATGCCGTATTTGGGGGACCTCTTGACCCCCTTAAAATTTCTCTTAAATCACTCAAATAAAGAAAGAAAGAAAGAACAAATAAAATATGTTAAAAAATAAAACCGATGGGATTAAAAACGAATAGAAAGGAGTTTTAGTTTAATTAATAGATGAGTTGGTTAATTTTGGGCTTACGAAAATGGAAACGTGAAAAAAAAAAATTGGGTTCCCATCCGAGTCAGTTTTATAAAAGAGAAAAAAAAAACAATAAGGCCCCTGGCTTTTCGTGAAAGTAAAGTGATGTTGTACGCTGAGAGCATCATCTTACCACCTCTTTGGTTTCTTTGACCGAGTATAAAAGTCGAAAAGTTCTTAACCTTTTCACCAGTCACCGTAAGAAAATTGAAGTTAACGCATCCCCGTAGCATCATGAACGCATTCTCCGTGGTAAGAAATACAAAAATTAATTTGTTTGAAAAAATTATAAATAGATGTCAAATTTGATAGATGTCATATATGTGTCAAAAATTTTCAATAGATGGCGCTATATAATTATTAAAATTATTTTTCTTTTTTTAGTGGGTGGCCATAACAATGGCCGTGGTGGTCGTTGCAGAACCACCTTCTGGTTATTCATACAGTAGACCAAGTGGAGGTGGTGGAGGTTATTCCGGCGGAGGTGGAGGAGGATATTCAGGCGGTGGAGGATATTCTGGAGGTGGAGGATACTCAGGAGGCGGTGGATACTCAGGAGGCGGTGGATACTCAGGAGGCGGTGGATATTCAGGTGGTGGTCTTTCCGGAGGAGGAGGTGGTTACCAAGCAGTACCTTTTGGTTACCAAACCAACGAAGGAGCAACCGTTGATCCAGCCCTTTTAGAACAAGTCCGCCAAATTATCCTCAAAGAAGAAATCTCATCCCAATCATCTTCATCGTTCGGAGGTGGCCACGGAGGAGGTGGTGGAATAAGTTCAAGTTATGGAGCTCCTTCTCCACAATACGGAGTACCATCATCTAGTTATGGAGTACCCGGATATCAACAAAGAGTTGTAGGAATTGATTTGGAAGGAATTAAACAAGCGATTCAAGTCGCTCAATACAGCCAAATTAGTCACCAGAGTTTCGGAGGTTATCCAAGCTCAAGTTATGGAGCTCCATCTCGCCCATCTTCTAGTTATGGCGCTCCTTTTTAAAAGCAATTAACAAGTCACCATTTTTTAAGCGGATTATCTTCTTCATCTGCAACTTCCACCACTTTCTCGCTGGATAACATCCTCAGCGGAGTCTCACACGGGTCATGATGCTAATTTTACAACAACATCTTGTAATTTTATAATGAATGCGTTAAGTTCGATTTCTTTATTTGTATAAAGCTTTAGATTCTTTTTTGTAACGAAAAAATTAAAAATACATTTGTCACCGTAACAAAAAAATTATTGTTTTACTTAAATCTACAACAATAACCTTTTAAATCTATTAAAACTGGTCTATTGATATAAGATTGTACTTACATGTTGTGTATATGCGATATTGGTTGCATACTTTCAATGATGAAGTCGGGTACGATAAATAATTAACACACTACTTTCTTTTTAAGATTTCTGTTCTTAAATGTGCTTCGGGAATCTGTTATAATTATCACTTTGGGATCCCTTTTCCAAAACATTATAGGTTATGTACATAACATAACCTCAATATAAGAATTAATTTTAAATGCTTTTTTTAATAAAGCACATATAAAATCGAAATTATTAATCAATGTATTAGTTAAAATTAATAAAACGGTTTTAAACTGTTAAATTAATAAAAATAAAAGGAATATCTAAAATAAATCATTATTTAAAAAATTTTGTTTAATAATTTTAATTATTTAAGGTTGGCAGATTTGAAGAACTTCCATTTTGAGTGATATAGGTATTTGTGGGAAAATTAAATTTAAAATTTATTAATAACAATTTAAGTTAAAATATATCTTATTATTAATAATTGATGATGACGTAATCTCAAATATCGTCTTAAGAAAGAAAATTAATCTTAATTAAGTTACTCAATAAAGTTAACAATTAATAAAAAGTAAAATGATTAAATATTGAAAAAAATGAATTAGAATTAGTTAAAAATTAATTGATTTGGAGATTTAATGATCGATTTTTGCTGTTTATATTGTTATAAGATAAGCACTTACCTATTTCGAAACGTAACACTAAAAAATAATTAGCAATAGCAACATAACCTCAAAAGAAACAATCAGTTATAAAATTGTTAATATTAAACCAAATTAATCAAATCGTTTTAATAAAACGAATTAAATTAATTAATTAATAGAAATAAAGCAAAAATCCAAAAATTATAATTATAATAAGTAATCGTTTAGTAGCTTTATTTATTTTAAGGTTGGTGGATTTCGATTGATTTTGATTTCTTGGTTGTCTCAAATTTGCTTTTGGATTGTATAATTTATTAATTAATAACCATTAATTAATAGAAATAAAGGGAAAATCCAAAAATTATATTAATTAAGTAATCGTTTAGTAATTTTATTTATATTAAAGTTAGTGGATTTCGATTGATTTCGATTTCTTGGATGTTGACAGGAAAATGTCAAATTTGAAATTTGCTTTTGGATTGTATAATTTATTAATTAATAACCATTAATTAAAAGAAATAAAGGGAAAATCCAAAAATTATATTAATTAAGTAATCGTTTAGTAATTTTATTTATTTTAAGGTTGGTGGATTTCGATTTCTTGTATGTTGGCGCGAAAATGTCAAATCAAATTTCCTTTTGGATTGTATAATTTATTAATTAATAACCATTAATTAAAAGAAATAAAGGGAATATTCAAAAATTATATTAATTATGTAATCGTTTAGTAATTTTATTTATTTTAAGGTTGGTGGATTTTGACTTCTTGGATGTTGGCGGGAATATGTCAAATTTCAAATTCTTTTTTGAATTGTGTAATGTTGATTGTATGATTTTGGATTGTATAATGTTGGAAAGTTAAAAAAAGACGTATTTTACGGTGACAAATGTATTTTTTTTTTCTTTTTTAATTTTTTTTTTTCAAGTTACAAAACATAACTTAAAAACTTTATACAAAAAACCGAACTTAACGCATTCATTGTTGTTATATCAAAAAATACAAAGATGTTGTTGTATTTTGCATCATGACCCGTGTGAGATTCCGCTGTTATTAGATGTTACTCAGCGTAATATGGTGGTAGCAGTTGCAGGAAAAAGGTAGATTTAAAATTTTTAAAAAAAATTGATTTCAAATTTTAGAACGGAGCTCCATAACTGGAGGATGGACGAGATGGTGCTCCATAAGTGGCCGCGGGGTAACCCCCGAAGCTTTGATGACTTATTTGACTGTATTGAGCAACTTGAATAGCCTGTTTAATTCCTTCCAAATCAACGCCCGTGACGCGTTGTTGATAACCAGGTACGCCATAACTGGTTGAGGGTACACCGTATTGTGGGGATGGAGCCCCGTAGCTTGTGCTAACTCCACCACCTCCTCCTCCAAATGAAGAAGAAGATTGGGATGAAATTTCTTCTTTTAAGATAATTTGACGGACTTGTTCTAAAAGAGCCGGATCAACGCTAGCTCCTTCGTTAGTTTGTCCACCGATGGGGACTTGTTGGTAACCTCCTCCTCCACCACCTCCTCCTCCTCCTCCTCCAGAATAACCTCCACCACCACCACTTGGTCTACTATATGAGTATCCAGAAGGTGGTTCTGCAACGACCACCACGGCCATCGTTATGGCCACCCACTAAAACAATTTTCTTAATGTAATTAAGAAAATAAATATAATTAAGTTATTTCTTACCAGGGAGAATGCGTTCATGATGCCTACAATGCGTTAACTTCGGGTTTCTTGTGGTGACTGTGCAGATGTGAAGAAATTGTCGCGTTTTTATAGTAGAAGGTGTACGCAAAAAGTGCAAAAGAAGTGGTGGAAGATGAGCCAAGTAGGAACTATACGATCCGATGCATACAAAAATGGGTAACATCATTGCGTCCACGTAGTTTTCCTGGTTTGGTCATCTTCGCTGTACATTTTTTTTCCTATCTTAGGTTAAATTAAAACGTTTAAACAAAATCAACGCTTTATAATTGCCAATAAAGAATATGAAGCTCTCCCAATCTTAAAAACAAAGATTTTTAAAAACGAAAGAAAGGAAAATTAATTATTACCGTAACGAAGGTTTGTAAAGTTAAAGGAGAAAACTTTCCAATTGTTAAATAAACAGGTTTTGACATTCTCATAATTGTAAATCTTAGGTTGTGTTTGAATTGTTTGCTTAAATGAATCCAATCGCTGTGAAATAACGAGTTTGGGAGAGATATCGCCTAAAATTGTTTTAAATGATTTAATTAAATGGATAAGAAGTAAAATAAGGATTTACGTTGAGTGTTAGCTCATTTCCTGTGTAACAATACAAAGCCAATTGATTTTCTATGGCTAAAAAATAAGCCAAATCATTTCCAATCGATCCAATTGGAACCTAAAACAAAAATTAATTGTTTAAAATATTAAAAAAATTATTTACAAAGTTACCGTTGTTACTAAAAACATACAAGTGCAAAGAACAACTAAAGAAACGAGTAATTGCGCAAAAATCAACGAGGAATAAATTGTTTCGAGATCATCACAAATTTTTAAAACCACCTGGAGGTGCTGAATCAATTTTTTTAACTCATCCTCACATTTTTTAATAAACTTTTCATCTTCGTGCTTGATTTTTAGATCGTTCAAAACCTTTTTTTGTATGTTTTTGAACGCCTCTCTCAATAACTTGAAATGAACGGTTGTTAACATCACCAAAGCCGTATAAAGCATATCTAAACCAACGGTTATTGAGCCACAATTAAACAACGCCAAACACTGCATAAAAACAGCCAACATGTGTTGGAATTTCGACGATTTATACTCGAAAGGGATCCAACTTTGATACGGCAATTCCTGATTATACTCCTCATTAAAAATGATTTGAAATAATCTCGTTAAGAAGCAAATTGAAGAAACGGCTATGGATAGAGAGTGAAAAATTTTAATTAAATTATCTTTAACTTTTTTGTTCGTTTCAATAATTTTTTTTTTATTGTAAAAATCAAAAATTGATGTGTCGCTTAATGTCTTCATAATACTTAGGATTTCTTTTCTCCACAAAAACCATTTCGTTAATTTATAAAGTGATAACACAAAAGAAGTCGTCATGTTTATGTTGCGAATCAAATCGATTTTCGCCTTTCTCGAATCTTTCAACGAAATTATTTGGGAGAAAGTGAAAAAAATCATCGAATAAAAAATACAAATAACGTTGTAAACGTTCAAAATTGATAATTGATCTTCGTACACCCAAACGCCGGCGAATTTTAACAACTTTACGTTTAAACCAAAAAAATGCAACATTTTTAAAATGAAACTGGAAAAAAAATCACGGTTTTAAACCCTCCGCGTCTGAAAAACGACAGTTGGACGTAAATAAATTATATTTTTACCCACCACAATTACTGGAGCTTACAAGAAAATCACCAAAATCAATTTTATTACAAGAATTAATTATAAAAATAATTTGACTTAAATACGTCAAAAATTTGATGACAGTTGTTTTGAGGTTATGTCACATTAATTAATTTGAATTAATAATTCATTTTGTAACTTTATAATAAATGCGTTAAATACGATTAGTTTATTTGTTTAAAGGAAATTGAAAGATTTTTTAATAAAAAATAAAAGAAATATTTAAAATAATTTATAATATCTCTTAATAATTTTATTTATTTAAGGTTGGCACTTAAATTTCTAAATGAGAATTAATTTGATTAATTGTCCACGTTAATTATAATAAATGCGTTAAATACAACTACTTTATTTCGATAAAACAAATTTAAACTTTTATTTAATAAAAAATGTTTAAAATAATTTATTTTATTAAAAATATCCCCAAATAATTTTATTTATTTAAGGTTGGCAATTAAATTTAAAAATGACAAGGTTATACTTCACATTGTAATATTTAGAACTAAAAATAACATTTTTCAATGCATCTTTGAAGTCTGAACGCATCAGCTGTTGGTAAATAAATAATTTTATCATCCCCTTTAATTTCTAGGTTCCCGGAAAAGAAATAGAAATCAAAATTGTTGATTATTAAATCTCCATTAGTTTCAAAATAATAATCGTTTTTGTGGTTTTCTTGGGTCGTCATCCGATTGTCAGTTCGCTACACTCATTTCTATTACATAACGTAATTTTCTTCTTTATATTTACCACGTTGAAGTTGAAGCAGTCTCAGAACGGCTACTTTCTCAAAGAGTGTGTATGTACAATACAACGTCGTATAACATCGATTAGATCGTGGATTTAGAAAGCGAGCTTGCTGCAAAAATATCTTTTATTTCAAAATATGATAAATAAATTACATTAAAATGAATTTGGCTTTCTTTGGTGAGGTCAATGTCTTTTCAGGAAAAGCATAAACAATGAAGAAGATTCCGTTATAAAAAGATTAATTGGTTCACACAGATTAAAAATGAAGAAAGGAAGTTGATAATGAATAATTAATTAGAATGTTTAAAAAATAAAAGAAAAAAAAAACGAGGTCATCAGTTCATTCGTATCCCACAACAATTTCTTTTTATTTAAACTTTTTACAGTACTCTAAATTAAAATAAATTAAAATAAAATGCGTGTTGGTTTACAAAAGTGAAATGGCCCGATTCGCTTTAAATTTATATTCAATATGCGTTTAACTTTAACGTTAAAAACAAACTCGAACTTTGTTCAATGTTTGCCTCTTGTGAAACTAAAAAATAAGTAGGTACCAAAGTAGTAGGAGAAAATGCGTTCAGATGACCCACTTAAAGGATTTAAAACGCAAAAACCTGTTTAAAGTGTATTAGATAATCTTTAAAACATCTTTTAATTCTAAAATCCTTTTAAAATTAACGAAATAAAAACCTTTAAATTACATCAACTTTATTTGAGGTTAAATGTCAAATTGACGTTTAATTGTCAAATGTGACGTTTACTTTTAAACTAAAAATGAGTTTATTTGAATATCTAATTATGAATTAAAAGGTGTTTCTTATGAAAGTATTTGGAATGTTGGTTAGAGTGCAAGAATTACATAAAAAAAGATAAATCCTAACCTAAAAAAAAAAAAGTCAACAAATCATTAAATTATACCATCTCTTTCTATAAATAAGCTATAAATTTGAGGTTCAACCTAAATAATTTACGTTTTGACGTAATTTAATAGTAAAATTGAAGTTTAGGAAGAAATCTTTTGGTTTATTACGAATTTTTTGTTTACATTGAAGCCCTTTTTTTTATAGAAATGTTATTACCAAGACATAACAAGAATTTTTTACTGGTAGAACCAAAACAATAGGAGTATTAAGTTAATAATCTTGTACAAAATGTTGTTATTCGATGCTATTTGAAGTTCAAGTTGGATATTCATAAATATATTAGAAACTATAATCAAAAATTAACCATAAAAGTAAAACAATTCGCTGCGTATTAATTAAAAATGAAGAAATTTAAATAGCATCTCATCAATCCTCTTCAAATTAAAACAAAACGAATAGAAATCCTTTTAAAATTAACGAAATAAAAAACTTTTTAATTACATCAACTTTATTTGAGGTTAAATGTCAAATTGACGTTTAATTGTCAAATGTGACGTTTATTTTTAAACTAAAAATGAGTTTATTTGAATATCTAATTTTGAATTAAAATTAGAAGGTGCTTTCTATGAAAGTATTTGGAATGTTGGTTAGAGTGCAAGAATTATATAAAAACAAGATAAATCCTAACCAAAAAAAAAGTCAACAAATCATTAAATTATACCATCTCCTTCCATAAATAAGCTATAAAATTTGAGGTTCAACCTAAATAATTTACGTTTTGACGTAATTTAATAGTAAAATTGAACTTTTGGAAGAAATTTTTTGGTTTATTACGAATTTTCTGTTTACAATGAAGTCCTTTTTTTATAGAAATGTTATTACCAAGACATAACAAGGAATTTTTAGTGGTACAACCAAAACAATAGGAGTATTATGTTAATAATCTTATACAGAATGTTGTTATTCGATGCTATTTGAAGTTCAGGTTGGATATTCATAAATATATTAGAAGCTATAATCAAAAATTAACTATAAAAGTAAAACAATTCGCTGCATATTAATTAAAAATGAAGAAATCTAAATAGTACCTCACCAATCCTCTTCAAATTAAAACAAAACTAATAGAAATGCTTTTAAAATTAATGAAATAAAAACCTTTAAATTACATCAACTTTATTTGAGGTTAAATGTCAAATTGACGTTTAATTGTCAAATGTGACGTTTATTTTTAACCTAAAAATGAGTTTTTTGAATATCTAATTTTGAATTAAAAGGTGCTTTCTATGGAAGTATTTGGAATGTTGGTTATAGTGCAAGAATTACATCGAAAAAAAGATAACCTAAAAAAAAGTCAACAAATTATTAAATTATACCATCTCTTTCCATAAATAAGCTATAAAATTTGAGGTTCAACCTAAATAATTTACGTTTTTGCATAATTTAATAGTAAAATTGAAGTTTTGGAAGAAATCTTTTGGTTTATTACGAATTTTTTGTTTACATTGAAGCCCTTTTTTTATAGAAATGTTATTACCAAGACATAACAAGGAATTTTTAGTGGTACAACCAAAACAATAGGAGTATTATGTTAATAATCTTATACAGAATGCTGTTATTCGATGCTATTTGAAGTTCAAGTTGGATATTCATAAATATATTAGAAACTATAATCAAAAATTAACCATAAAAGTAAAACAATTCGCTGCATATTAATTAAAAATGAAGAAATTTAAATAGCATCTCATCAGTCCTCTTCAAATTAAAACAAAACGAATAGAAATCCTTTTAAAATTAATAAAATAACCTTTAAATTACATCAACTTTATTTGAGGTTAAATGTCAAATTGACGTTTAATTGTCAAATGTGACGTTTATTTTTAAACTAAAAATGAGTTTATTTGAATATCTAATTATGAATTAAAAGGTGTTTCTTATGAAAGTATTTGGAATGTTGGTTAGAGTGCAAGAATTACATAAAAAAAGATAAATCCTAACCTAAAAAAAAAAAAGTCAACAAATCATTAAATTATACCATCTCCTTCCATAAATAAGCTATAAAATTTGA